TCAGCACTTCCCTTTTGTCTGGTTCTCTGCTGCTCTTTTTTGCCTGGTGAAAAACACAAAGATCATCATCATCAAACTGCAAGACATTTCCTGATGCTGAGCTGCACATTTAGCTCATGCACCAAGACCTGTGCCACAGAGGGACCACATCTGTATTTGCATGTGTTGGTTCACACCCAGAAATCGTCACAGATGGAGAGAAAGCCAGGATGCTCTGGGATCTACACTGCAGTGCTGGGGCTGTGATTCCCTTCTCTGCATTAGCTGTGGATCACAAGGCTGGGCTGGGAGCAGGGTGCTGCCAGGTGCTCTGCATTACAGCAGTCCCAAAGCTGCTACCTGCACAGAGCGATGGGGGAAATTCAGGTATTGCCTTTGTGCTTCAGCAAGCTGGAGGATTATGACTTCCTTAACAACTGCCTGGAGTATTGTCTATGGGTTGCATTTACAAACAGCATCCAGCCAGGTCTGTGGCTTTTCTTTTCACTGCACAGCTTGTTCATAGGGTGCCTGCCTCTGGCAAATGATACAAGCGATGCAAAAGATGGAAGTGACTGCAAAACTTCAGTGCATCTGCAAGTGCATCTCCTGCCATGTGGGCACTGCTGAGCATGCTACTTGCATGCTAACATCACAGGAATGATACCAGCATCCAGGTGCAGCCAGGGCCATGCTGGGGACGAGCTCAGCCATTCTGGGGGAAATCTGCAGCGTTTGGGAGATTTCCAGGCATTTTCAGCATGCTTGCCCCAATCTCTCCTGTTTTACAGATGTCTTTGCCTGCTAAATAGGATTTTTGCAGCAGTGACTCAGATACAACAGCAGTGAAGGCAGCGGAGCAGCCCCCAGCTGAATCCCACCCAGCCTGACAATACTTAAAACAAAACAGAAAGATATTAATATTAATGCCCGCATTCTCGTCTGCCATCAGATACAATCAACAGATTTAGCTGTGTTCTAACCCAAGAGATCGTGTGTAATTAGGAGGAATATGTCCAGGAAATCACACTCCTGCCTGCAGGCACGCATTGCCTATTACAGGGATCAGGTAGAGCCCTTTGCATTTCCCTGCTGATGGGAGGCCCTCCAAGATGCCTCCTGCCCTCCCAGTCATGAATAATCCAGAAGCAGCTATGCATTGGCTCCTGTCTGGGGTGGTTTTTGTTCAGCTGCTTGTGCTGCTGAGACACAGGAGCTTTGTAAAATGCCTGATTTTTGCCTGCATTCGGACCATTTCTTGCCACAGGGCTCCAAGTGATCCTTCTGGATTCACTACAAAGGTATTCCTCGCTGCAAATCTGCCATTTCTGAAAGGAGAACTAAATCTGCAACTCAAAGAATTCCTGATTTATGGATTAGGTGTTTGTTTTCCTCTACTCTGGCTGATGTAATCGAGGCAAATGGCTCTAAATGAGATTTTGAGAGACAGACTATTCGATTAGAGGGTATTATATTAAATTATTATTGAAATATTATTCCATTATTGGCATAGGAAGTGAAAGCTATAATGAAGGCATCACATACACGCAAGCTGGCCGGAGACAGCCCTGACTCTGCCCAAAGCTGCAGCCATTAAGACAAACCTCTAACAATTCCATCACAGATGCTCTCTGTCCAGAAGGAACATTTTGAAGACACCAAACCATCCACATTTCAGAATGGATTGGGACGGGTCAAGAGCCCAGACCTGACGGCAGCTGCAGCAGGACAGAGACAGCCCTGCACTGCAGCACGGGAGCCCCCTGCCACTCCTCCAGGGGAAAAGGTTGGGGGGAAAAAAATAAATCATAGAATCATTGAGGTTGGAGGAGATCTCCAGGGTCACCAAGTCCAACCCCAACCCACCATGCCCACATCCCTCAGTGCCACATGCCCACAGCTCTGGGACACCCCCAGGGATGGTGACCCCCAACTCCATGGGCAGCTGTGCCACTGCCTGACTGTAGAAGAGATTGTGCCAAGGGATGTTCAGGTTGGGTATGAGGAACAACTTGAGGCCAATAGCTCTCATCCTATTGCTCTTACCTGGCAGCAGATGCTGACCCCCCATTTCACCACAACCTCCTTTCAAATCCATTGAAAATACTTCCCTGGTCAGAGCCCAGGAAACCAACAAGAATCTTCCTAGCCATTTGCCCTAGAACCTTCCCAGTGACAGGCAGAGATTTCTCCCTCGACATTTGCCTGGAGAGCAAATTAAACATTGAGAAACCTTATATGGTAAGGTAATAGGAAAGCATCAAGCAAAGCCCAGCCTGGAGAGCTTCTCTGCAGTGAAGCCACATATGGAGCAGGGCGAGGGGTCAAGAAGATGGGAAGCCTTACCCACGGGCAGGGTAAATCCTCATTAACTCCCATTCTATAACCACCCCAACTCAGCATTCCCCAGCAGTGTTTCCACCTGCTGCCACTGAACACATACTGGGGCTCCAGGTGGTCATTAGGATGCTCGTTAGGACCAGGTGTTGCTCAGAATACCACATCCAGGGAGCTGGAGAAGATGAGCTACAAAAGGCAAACAGAAGGAAGGCCTCTGCCCTTCCCCTCCTAACCAGACATGGGGCTAGATGGGATAGAGAGCTGCTGTGTACAAACAAAGGATGGTGCCAGCAAGGAGGAAACGGTCACCTGCGATCACACAGGCTCCTGTTTCTGAGAAAAAGGCAGGGGATTTTGAGTGTTGATTTACCCATCAGAAATCCTTTATCCAAATAACACCTGAAGGACAAGAGAGGAGAGGTGCATCGCTGGGAACGTGGCAACAGCATCACATTGGTGGTCCTTCAGCTAGAGCACAGCCCCAAGGAGGACCCTGCTCTGCCTGCAGAGTGCAGGGACAGCCCCAGTGTGCCTGGGGCGGTGAGCAAGCAGCAGTTTCCAAGCTAAGAAATGAGCTTTGAGATGGGTTTGCCCACGTTTTCCTGAGTTCCAATAAAAGGAAAAAGAAAAGGAAAACAAGAAAAGGAGGCAACAATCAGCTCATGTGTTTGGTTGTGTTATCTCTAAGTACTGGCAAGGCTGAGTATAATTGGCTGGGCTGTGATGTTTTTTCAGCACAGATACAGAAGCACTGCCCTTGGCCACAGCATTAAATATTTGCCTTTCATTAAAAGGGAACAGGAGCAGGGCAAAAGCCAACTTTTGGTGAGCACCGATTTAATTAATTGCCAATTAATACAAGCTTCTCATCACAGCTTCAGGTATTGTGGAACAGAGAGACCCAAGTGTTTTGCTGTAAGCCTGAGGTCCGGATGGGAATCCCTGCCTGCTGCAGCAGGAGGGGAAGCAACAGGTCCTAAATGCAGCAGGCCAGACAACCCCACACAATGCTTGTGTTTGCATTCTGTACTTAATTACCAGCTTAAACAGCAGGAGGATCCATTAATACACCTTTACATCCCTTCTTTCTCCCTTATTTTCTTTTCTTCACACTCCCTTTGGGAGAGAAGCATTGATGTGGGCCCCAAGTCCCAGAGCTGCTCTTTGGTGCAGCAGATGAAGGAAAACCCAAGCCCATCCAAAAGACAACATGCCCTATGTGCTGCCTTATTTCCTGCTATTCATCAGCAGAACTCTGATATGGACATCAGCCTTTTAAAGCAGTTGCCTCAGCCTCATTTTCCAAGCGGCCAGCCTGCAGGGTTAGATAGGAAAGCTTTCACTGATTTAAATGGGGGTTGGTTAAGCCCTCAGATGGGCAGAGCTGGACCTCAGGAAAGGGTTGCATGGCATTTCTGCACACAGCTGCCCACTGCCTGGGCTCTGCACACCAGTCCTGGGAGGGGACGAGCCATCAAAATGATTCTGTGATTCAGCCTCATCTCCCCCTGCCAGGAGGCTTCAGCTGTCTCCTGTTCCTGGCAATACCCGGCCTTGGGAAGTGCTGAAAATAGTTGGATTTAGGTTAATCAGAAGGCTTTCTTTGCTGCATTTAATTAAAAAATGTCCTCTTTTCACAGAGCTGAAAACTACAAGTTTCCATGCGAATTCTCTGAAAAAATGATGTGATGAGTGGCCTCAAATAGATACAATAATACAAAATATAGGCAAGGTATTCAATCCAAGATCATTTTTGCCAGCACCGGGGTTTGGGGAACATCTAGATATGGAGAAATCTGAAGTGATTTCAGCATCTCAATCAGAGCCTTGGGGGAATGCCCAGCTCTCTGCAGCCCAGGACTCCGTGCCCCCCACCAGCACTATCACTGCCCTTTGCCAGTTGTGAAACAGCTCATTCAAGGCACCTTAGGAAAAGAGGCTGCAGGACAATAAGCAGGCAGCAGGCTCCTGTGGGTGGGTGGGGATGGATGTAGTGCTGAGCACAGCAATGCTGGGCTGCTCCAGAGCCACAGTGGGCCCATTCCCACCTTGCTGGACAGGCCCAGGCTTTGTTATGCTTCAGAGCAGGCTACTCAACTAATCTTTCCTTTAAGTTTCTGCTAGGATAGTGATTAAGGAGTTATTTATTCAGGGACAAGTGAGTAGTGCTGTCAGAAACACACATTGTTCTCAGCTGAATGTCTCCCTGCAGTCAGTATGAGAAACTCATGTTTTGCCTTGGGCTTTGGGGGTTTATTTTATTTTATTTTTTAACGGCCTCTTGGGTTTTCTTCTTTGTAAAAGATGCCCTCCAGCTCTTAGAAGAATGCTGCACGACCCAAATCCAAGGGAAACACTTCTTTTTTAAACATTTCTCCCCAAAACACACAGGACCCAACCCCAGCAGGGGAATGCTATCTGCAAACTGCCCACCAACATAAGCACTGGCAAAGGGGCAGAGATAGCACAGCGCCGTGGGAGAAATCAGGATAGAGAGAATCATTAAGGCTGTTAAAGACCACTAAATTCATCAAAGTCCCATCATTGACCCACAACCATCATTTCCTCAAACCAGAACTCTGAGGAGTTTCCACTCTGATGCTGGTTGAAACCTCTCCAGCTCAGGGCAGCAGTTGGGTACCAGCCCTCCCATCCACACACACCAATGGGAAGTTGCTCACCAAGTAGCAAAGTCCTCTTCTCCTCATAGCAAAAGCTGCTCTCTGTAAAGGACTGTGTGCACATGCAATCTTAGGTTTCTACCTGACAGAAGGGTACAAAACACAGCAGGAAACAACCCGAGGCTAATGCTTTATCTCCGTCCAACCTGCCCCAATCAGCATAGCTAATTGATATTTAACTGGCATCAGGTGTTTCTGATAAAGGTCCAATGAAAGCAGGACTCAGTGAATTGGGGGAGGCTGGTGCCTGGCCTTTTGCTTGTGCCTGCTGGGTGTGTGTGACCTCTTAGCAACGCAATGGGCATCTGATATTGCTGAGGCTGTGCTGGGCCCATATCTTCACATAGGTGCTTTAGCAAAGCATTAATCATATTAATATATACTTAGAGTAACTCAAATTACACTGAAGCTCACAGGAAAATTGAATGCAAAATCTATTTCTACAGCCAGCAAAGCTCAGCAGCATCCCTTTGACTAAGGAGCTGGGAGATGCCCTAAGTTCACCTCGAGGAAATCCATATTTCTATCATTTTCCCCACTTGTTTTGGGATCCAGAATTCCTTGTGGCTGCTTTTGCTTCCAGCTCTGCCCCCTAATTGCTCCCATCGCAACTGGTGCTGAAAAACTAATGACCAACTCGTGTGTGCTAATTGCCATCGTGTAACATCAGAGTGTTTCTGAATTCCACCCAATGCAGCATCTCCCATGTGTTACCACGTGCCTTGTTCTCAGCTGTTTTCTCTTAACACCAACTCTCATTCATATACACGTTTTGGATAGACATGAAGTGGAGCTTATGTCCAAAATGAAATTATCCTAGAGGATGGTGTGTGGGGAGAAGACACCTTGCAACACATCTCAGTGTAAAGAGCTATCCAGGAATAAAAGCTTCAAAGAAACTTGGGATAAAAGCAGAATAAGCAAGAAGAATAAGCAGAAGAAGAAGAGCAGAATAAGCATCTGTGTGAGCACGCCGTTGATAACAGCATTTCCAAAGTCTGCAAGGAAAACATTGCACCAGCAGCCCTCCGTGTTGCAATCTGGTCGCCACCCATGGCTCAGTAGAAACAGAGCCTGCTCATGGTGTGACAGGTTATGGATTGCAGATGTCACCGATGGATTCCAGCCTTAATGGTTCTGTGATTCTGGAGATAAGTTCTTCTTACCCTGTTGTTCAGGAATCATTCAGGCGCACCCATGAATGTCCTCCAGTGGGTATCTTCCCTTCTGTTGTGTCTTTCTGTGGCAGCCCTTCACTAGTTCACCTGATGTCGCTTGTAAATCACAAGTACCCATTGACTGGGACAGAGCTTGTCCATTTTAACAGCACTGGTGTTGCTTTGTGCTCCATTCCCCCCTCCCCAAGCAGCACCAGCCGCTTTCCCTATTGCCCAACAGCCAGCAGCAGACAAGAAGTTTACATTTTTCAAGGGAACGCCAAAAGCAGCCATTTCCTGTGCTCTTATTACCCAGAGACCTCACGCAGCAGCCAGGCAGGTCTATGGGTCAGGGCACGCTGCTCCTGCCTCCCAGACCCCAGGACTCCTCCCTGCTCCTGGGATTCCTTGGAGTGCAAAGACCTCATTATCCAAGGGAGGGAGGAGGAATAATGAAGTCTTCGTGCTTTAAGGCGTTGTGCAGAGAACGCAGCAAGTGATGCTGGTAATTGTTTTTGAGCAAGTTCTGCTTTGCAGGGGTTATTGGAATCAGCTCCCTCAGCTTTGTTTTGCCAGCTGTTCTAAGTGAAGCCTCCCTGAGCTAGGTAGCTCTAAGGCATGGAAACGCATAACACAGAAAGCTTCTCAGGACCTTGCAAAGGCTTTCTAATGTTTTTTCAAGTCATCTCTTGGAAAACCATGTGGGAAAAGATGAGTGAGAAAAAATCCTTTCCCAAGGGTGATGCTGAGAACATCAGGTGAGGGGGGGGGCACTGGGTCCAGGGGATGGAGCACCATGGGGACATGGCCAGCCAGGTCTGGGTGATGGAGCATCACAGGGACATGGCCACCTGTGGCTCCCAGCCCAGGGGGCATGCAACGAGGCTGCAGGGACAGTGAGTTGGGAGACAGCCCAAAGCCAACAAGCAGAGGAAGAAGATGCCAAGAGCCCTTAGTTGATTCAAAATGCCCCAAACTAATGCCCTTCTGCTTGTTATGGTGATTGTTTTCATCTGAGGCAGCAAAGAAAAGTTGTCCTGGCCAAAACACCTCCTGTACACATTCCTGAATGTTGATTCTTGCTCCTACCATACTCGTGAAGTCAAAAGGGGCACCAAGCATTGCAAAGGTTGAGGTGCACAGCTGGAAACTGTTCTGTGGTGGGAGAATGTGGGTTTCTCCTTCCAAAATCTCTTCACTATATCCAAAATGGTATTATCCCAGGAGTTTGTTTTCATTTTGACCAAGCAATGCCAGGACCCATGTATAGGTCAGTGTCATTGCAAGCCCATGGTAGGAGCCTGGGGAGAGGGAGAAGAGCTTGGGGCTGCATGAGGTCCCTTCTGCACCTCTGCAGCTGTTGGAGGGGTAGGGAGTGGGGTTAGATGGTGGCAACAACCTGAGTGGGATGAAGTAGACATAGAGGTAACTATGGTGAAAAGCTGATAAGGAAGCGGTGAGAAATCTTGCAGGAGGATGGAACACAACTGAAAGGAATGCAAACCTGTTGTTAAGCTGCATCATAGTGGGCTTTTGCCCCGGCTCACAGGTGTGCTGTCTGTCCAGCATCCCGGTCCCACACCTCCGCCTGGCAGTGCCACATGGGTGCAGCAGGAGGCAGAGCCAACAGCAAGCTCCAGGCTGACCCCTGCTCTGCTGGCTCCACCGTAAGCTAAACAAACAGTGAATGACTTACATGCAGACATGGGTTGGGAATTTTTTCCCTTTAACTTCCCTCCAATTGGCCCGGAGAACCACTGGCAGCAGCTGGGAACCAAAAAGGTTTTGAGACAGCAGCACATGAGCCCCAGACGTTTGGGTTGCTCAAACATTTCTCAGAGATTAGCAGTGTCAGAGCAGGCGGCGAGGAGGATAAATCACGGGGTTGGGCTGGCCTCATCCAGGACACGGGGGCTGCGGTGCAGGCAGAGGCATCCCACAACGAGGGGGAGAAGTTCCCTGCAGCACCAGGCTCGCACCGTCCGTACTCTCGCTGGCTGAGAGGCAGCGTGGAGATGATCCAGATGTTCCCCTGCTTTCAGAAAGTCATTAAGCAACTATTTTTATACCGAGAGCAGAGCAGCACAAAGCAACCATCCGTTTTGTCCTCTCTGTTTGCATAACCCAGAGTTAGAAATGAAGAGGGGGAAAAAAATGATCGCCTATGAGTGAGTGTGTGTGTTTTCCTGTTGTGATTATTTTTTGGTCCTAGAGCAAAAGTTGGATGGTGCTGCTGGTGCCCAGCCCCCACCGAAGACCTTCCTGATGTGGGTGCACCGTTTTATTTTGCAGAGTCATAAAACCACACAATGGTTGGGTTGGAAAGGACTGTAAATGTCATGGAACCATGGAGTTCTGCAGCATAGGAAGTTCCGCACAAACATGTGCAAGAACTTCTTTACAGTGAGGGTGACGGAGCACTGGAACAGGCTGCACAGGGAGGTGGTGGAGTCTCCTTCTCTGGAGATGTTCAAGACCTGCCTGGATGCCTACCTGTGCGACCTGCTGTAGGGAACCTGCTTTGGCAGGGGGGTTGGACTCGATGATCTCTGGAGGTCCCTTCCAACCCCTACAGTTCTGTGATTCTGTGATTCTGTGATTCTGTGATTCTGTGAGTGGTTGGGTTGGAAGGGACCTTAAAGATTGTAGAACCATAGGACGGTTGGTTTGGAAGGGAACTTACATCTCATAGAACCACGGAATGGTTGAATTGGAAGGAATCTCACATATTCCAGTCCCACCCCTGCCATCGGTTGTCTGCTCCCCAGTTCAGGCTGCCCATGGTCCCATCCAGGGCTTCAGACACCTCCAGGAATGGGGCACCCACAGCTTTCGACAGCAGAGCCAGGCCCTCACTGCCTTTGGGTAAAGAATTTCCTCCTAATACCTAATCTTAACCTTCCCTCTTTTGATTTACAGCCATTCCCTGGATGCTGGCATTCCCTGCCCTCGAGATGGAAGGATGAGATGCACCCTGAATGCTCCCAGTCCCTGCTCCCTAGGGAAGAGCTGCAAGGAGCCGCTGCTTTGGGTTAGCATCAGGAGGAAGCCATCTCCATCCTCTGGCTGCAGAGGACAGCCTGAGTTTTGCCTTTATGAGCATTTTCCATCCCTTCCGTCATTGTTTTCACATGTTTGGCTTTATTACACACGATATAAATATAGCACAGCTCTTCCTTTGCTCCTCCAGCTCACTCTGTAGGTTGTTCACACGGCTGCATGCAGCACCACTCAGCTCTGCACTATTTATAGCAGGTTGCAGCTGCCTGCCTGCTGCTCGCTGTGGTGCCCAGCACCCTGCTTTTCCTGTGCTTCTTTGCACCCTGCAGCCATATCAAAGTGGGGGATATCACCTCTGCAGAGACACTGTCACTGGTGTGCTATCCTCACGAAGGGCCCTTGGTGTTCCCATAGCACAATGCAAAGTCCCTCCTCACCCACGTGTGCTTCCCTCCAGACATTCACTTAACAGGATTGGATTAGGATATAAAATGCGAGCAGGGGACTGAAAGGCAGATTGGTGAGATCCTTCCCTTCCTGCCACTTTGAGAGAGTAGCATGAGAGGCAACAGCCTCATGTTGTGCCAGGGGAGGTTCAAGTTGGGTATCAGGAACAATTTCTTCTCTGAAAGAGCAGTCAGGCACTGGCACAGGCTGGTTGGGGTCACCATCCCTGGGGTGCCCCCGAGCCGTGGGGATGTGGCACTGAGGGACGTGGGCAGTGGGCATGGGGGAGATGGGCTGGGTCGGTGTGGGCCCCTCAAGTGGGGCTTGTGGTATTCGAAGTGCCATATGATTGTATTTAGAAGGAATGCTGAGTTGTGATGATTATTTCAGGTCTGTGCCGTGATGAACCTACTGAGTAACAGAAGAAGCCCAGCCAGACATCTGCTTGGGTGCAGTTTGCCATGTGAACACAGAAAGAGTTGAGTTGCTTTACTGTGGCATCACCAGACAGAACAGCATCTGGGGAGAAAAAGAAATCAG